ACACACACACACACACACATACACGGTGTCCCATTTTAAAAGATGCATCTTGATCATTCTTCAGCTAAGCATATTGAGCAAAAATGTTTCAGACGAAAGTTATATGGTTCAATGGAGGACATAAGAAGGTTAGGTTGCATTAGTTTGATCACGCGTGGCGCTGCCAACGTCACGTTGAGGTCAATTTTGCTTTTTAAGTAAAAACATATATCTTTTATTATAGAATTTTATTCTACGTAAAGAAACAAATAACTTTTGTTTGAAACACTTTTTATATGACCTCTATTTTCTAAGATATTTACGGAAACATCTATAAAATTATTGGTTTCAATAATTATTGGTTTCAATAATTTTTTACTTAAATTCTATCAACTTTACCAAAAAATAGCAAGAAATAAAAATTATCTATTTTCTTCTCATAGAGCTCTGAAAATTTTTTCATAATTTTTAAAAAAATCAAGAAAATGGGTAATTATCGGGTATAGGGGAATCAGCTCCAATGACCTTGACCTTGACATATGTTGTAGAGGTCATCCTCCTGAGTAACTCTCAGAAGGTTTTAGCTGTCGCTCGTTCGTTAAAAAGTTATTAACAAAAGAAGTTGCATAAAATGAATATAATTTTTGGACACTATATATACAAAAACGATACTGTGTATCGTTAACGAGCAATATCGAATAATAACTACAATAACGAACGACTAGCGGGAGGCTGCGCCCCCCGCAGCCCCCCCTCAAAACTAACCTAACCAACCTAACGTCACATTAACCTTCAGTCATTGTTTATTAAAGTGTTCAACTTTTGTGTTAATGTGACGATAGGTTAGGTTAGGTTAGTCTTGAGAGAGGTTGCGGGGGGCGCAGCCCCTCGCTAGTCGTTCGATATTACAGTTATTATTCGATATTGCTCGTTAACAGTACACAGTATCGTTTTTGTATATACAATGTCCAAAAATTATACTCATTTTATGCAACTTCTTTTGTTAATAACTGTTTAACGAACAACAAGCGATGGCTAAAATCTTCTGAGAGTTACTCAGGAGGGTGACCTCTACAATATATGTCAAGGTCAAAGTCATTGGAGCTGACTCTCCTATAGTCTATAATTACCGAAACTTCTTTTGTTAATAACTTTTCAATAAACAATGAGCGACGGCTAAGACCTTTTGAATGTTACTCAAAGCAGTAATCTTAACAATATATGTCAAGGTCAAGGTTATTGGAGCTGACTCCCCTATACCCGATAATTACCACAATTTTTATCTATTTTTCGGCGAAATTTATTTTTTCTTACGAAATTTTATTCTACATAAAGAAACTAATAATTTTTGTTTGAAAAAAATTTTTATATGATCTCCATTTTCTAACGTATTTACGAAAATATTTACAAAATTATTGGATTTAATAATTTTTTACTCGAAGTCCATCAACTTTAGCGAAAAATAGCAAGAGATAAAAATTATCCATTTTCTTCTCATAGAGCTTTGAGAATTTTTTCAGTATTTTGTAGTTATCTTATTAGTACTGCATTTTCTTACATTTTCTTGAAGCACTAAACAGTTTATCAAAAATTCTGAGAAATTCTCGGAGCTCTACTAGAAAAAAAATAATATTTATCTCTTACTATTTTTTGGTAAAGTTGACAGAATTCGAGTAAAAAAATATGGAAACCAATATTTTGTAGATATTTCCGTAAATATTTTAGAAAACAGAGGTCGTATAAAAGATTTTTTCAAACAAAAGTTGTTAGTTTCTTTACGTAAAATAAAATTCCGTAAGAAAAAATAAACGTTCCCATTTAAAAAGCAATGTTGATTTTCGAATAACCTTCAGAATGATTTCCAAGGTCAAAGTCAAGGTCACCTTCAAGTCCTTCTGAGTCCGGCAACTTTTGTCTGAAACATTTTTGTTTAATATACTTGGCTGAAGAATTATGAGGACGGATCTTTTAAAATAGGACACTCTGTATATACAGGGTGTCTCATTTTAATCAATCATCTTAAATATCTTTTGAACAGTGCATTTTAGGGAAAAATGTTTCAGATAAACGTTTTGAGATTTCGAGGGGGACATAAAATGATATCATTGGTTTGACCTCGAGTGGCGTCGTTAAGGTCACGACAAGGTCACTTTGAATTTTTTAAATAGAACCCTCCATTTTTTATCACATATTCTTATAACATATATCGAGAGTTTTTCAAAACACTATAATAAAATATTTTTTCATTAAATATCTTTCGAGTGAAATCTTTCTTCAAAATTACAATATTGTTGCCATTAGCATTGGTACCCAAGGTGTTCGACCGACTGCTAAAACCTTTTGAATGTTGTTCAGGGCCATGACCTTGACAACATTTATCAAAGTCAAGGCGATTGGAGCCTGTTCCTAGTATTTTCATTTCTTCAAATTTCATAGTGAAAACGAAAATAATAATTTAAAATCATGGGATAATATGTGCTTCGTCGGGGCTACAAAGAAGCTCACGTTTAAAATCCCATTAATAAATTTTTTTAATAATCCTATCTCGTGTCATTCACTTGCTAGCGTCACTTGTCCGCATTGTTGCTAATCTAACCGCAGGGCGGAGACTCGTGGCAAATTCAATACTTTCAGTGTTTTCACAAGTTTTTCTATTGTTTTGTAATTATGGCTGATTATCCGCCTAACGAAATCGTGGATATAATCAGAATTTTAGGTGAGGCCAGGAATAATTATACGATAGCTGAAAGGATTTATGCCGAAACATTTCCGGATAGACGTCATCCTGATTAGACGGTAATTAAAAGACTATGTGAAAGGGCACA